ATGTAATTTAAAATTTTAACCCAACTTCAACTTTCACTTTAAACTGTACATTTTTGAATTGCATTTTTAACCCAACATTTTGGTTTGTCCATATTTGACCCAAATTTGGGTTAAAAAAAACCCCAGCATTGTTTAGAGTGTACTCTCCCTCATGTTGTTCAACCCCGTAAGACTTTCGTTCATCTTCCAGTATGTTTTAGAGTGTATAATTACTGACAGAGTTTTAATTTTTGGTGAATACACTCTAAAAAATGCTGGGTTGTTTCAACCCAAATTTGGGTCAAATATGGACAAACCCAAATGTTGGGTTAAAAATGTCATTGAAAATTTTAACCCAACTTCAACTTTCACTTTCAACTGTCATTTTTTTAATTACATTTTAAACCCAACATTTGGGTTTGTCCATATTTGACCCAAATTTGGGTTGAAACAACCCAGCATTTTTTAGAGTGTATAAGTACTTTATACAGACAATTTCCTTGTAATATACATGGTGATACACAGCTAGTTATACACTCTAAAAAATGCTGGGTTGTTTTAACTCAATTTCGGGTCAAATATGGGCAAACCCAAATGTTGGGTTAAAAATGTAAAATTTTTACCCAACTTCAACTTTCACTTTAAACTGTACATTTTTTAATTGCATTTTTAACCCAACATTTGGGTTTGTCCATATTTGACCCGAGTATACACTCTAAAAAATGCTGGGTCGTTTTAACCCAATTTTGGGTCAAATATGGACAAAACCGAAATGTTGGGTTAAAAATGTAATGTAAAAATTTAACCCAACGGCTGGGTTAGTCCATATTTGACCCAAAGTTGGGTTAAAACAACCCAGCATTTTTTAGAGTGTATATTTACATATTTGACTTCCAGAATTTTTTAGAGTGTAATTACTGACAGAGTTTTTAATTTTGGGTGAATATAAGTACTTTATAAGTAGCCTACTAATAAACAGACAATATCCTTGTAATATACATGGTGATACGCAGCTAGTTACACTCTAAAAAATGCTGGGTTGTTTTAACTCAATTTCGGGTCAAATATGGGCAAACCCAAATGTTGGGTTAAAAATGTACAATTTTTACCCATCTTCAACTTTCACTTTCAACTGTTGGGTTAAAAAAAAATGCAATTTATAAATTTAACCCAACAGCTTGGGTTTGTCCATATTTGACCCAATTGGGTTAAAATAACCCAGTATTCTTTAGCACTCTAAAAAAATGCTGGGTTGTTTTAACCCAATTTTGGGTCAAACATTGGGTTAAAAATGTAATTCAAAAAATGTAACCCAATGGCTGGGTTTGTCCATTTGACCCAAAATTGGGTTAAAACAACCCAGCATTTTTTAGAATGTGAGACTTGGACCTTAAACTAAAGTGTTACCAAAAATACAATTGTTCATTTTTAATTCATTAAATAAGAGGAATAATGCATTAGTAAATGTTGAAGTTAAGATTAATAAATACTTATATCTGTGTTTGATTACGGTCCATTTTATGGGAGGAGGAATTGTACTTGCATAACCCTGTTATGAGTAATTTATTTAGCGTTACAGTCATCCCTGCTCTCTCATAAACAAGCAACTATTCTATTGACGAGGAAAGTAATTATTCCGTGGCCTAATTTTTCGTTGCCATAAAAAGCCAGTCTACTGGGTTGCATCTGCATCGAACTCATTAAAAACATCAGGAGCAAGAATTTGCCTATTCAAATTTCATTCCCTGGGGCGAACTTGTTTGCTTATGCTGCGCTAAACAGAATACAGTACGAAGCTTAGCTAAAACGCATGATCTCTCTCTCCGTCTCTGCTGTATAACTGTATCTGGACGTTTCCACCTCGACTCCGGCAACATGCGGTCCTGCTATACCCCTGTACGTCCCGAAGGATCTCACCCCTGCGCCTCCACATAGCATCATTGTCCCCCAGGAGCTCCACAAAAGGGACCATTTGACCTCTAAACACACCCCCATTTCCTCTCTTTTGAAAGTGTCCTGGCCCACAGAAAGTCTCATTGCGACTCAAAGGAAACTGTACATCAATAAAAGATGGCCAGCCAAACCTCATAGAAAAAAAAAGCGAAGAAAAGCACTCGCATTTCAAACCCAGCTGAAATTGACGGAGTGGGCCACTCGCTCCCTAGCAACAGACGCCTACAGCACAGGAAGCTACAAGTTCACAGTTCAGTTTGGTTCGGCCGGACTCTGAGTTGAATAGATACCCGAGGCCATTATTCCAACAACTTTTAATGACACTTTGAAATATGTCATGCCTTGAAGGCACAATATGTACGATTTTTTGCATTCAAATATCCATAAATCACTCGAACAATGCAATGTTGTTGACGTGTGTGCTTGCATTATGCCAAATGTTTACAGCAACCCAGAGAAATAAGCTATTTTAACCAACCAGTGTAACAGCCCGTGTGATTAACGACGTCATATCCGCAGTTAACACCAAAGACTCAGTATACACTGAGTTTGGGTTCATTTTTATGACGCACTCAAGTTTACATGACCGAGACAGCATTATTTTACAAAAGCCCAAGGTTATCGTGAGTTTACCCCCCAAAAAATCAGGGCCCGTATGTATAATGCCGCTCAGAGTAAATTTTGTGTGTCAAAATTTTAAGAATGACGTAATTTTACTCGTATTCTTATACTTAAGAATAAGTGTGATTCATAAAAGTTCCTAAGTGTTAAGACTAGGTCTCAGCTCCTAATTTATTTAAGAGAGCTGGAGAGGTGTAACAAGATGGCACCAGAGAGGAGGAGGCCGTGCAGTTTCCAACAACGTAAGAATGTGTTGGAATTATATGATGACAGAGAGTTGATCAAATGAGACAGGCTTGATCGTCAGGGTATTATTTTTGTTACTGACCTAGTCAGAAATTCAACTTCTCCCACTGTAAGAGACAATGCCTTAACTGCAGAAATGAAAGTTATAATAACTCTGCATTTCCTTGGACCAGTTTGGTTTTGTTTTTGCATCTATTTTTTTTTTAACCAATTTTCAACTTTTGTCTTTCCTTTATATACAGCTGTGAGTGCATTTTCTTTTTTAAATTATGTGATTCATCAGCTTAATTACTTAAATATCATCACATTTGTCCATTTAATTAGTGTGTTGAAACTCTGTGTGAAATAAATGCTTGTACTTATTTGTAATCTTTTTGTACAACGCAAAAATGAATTATTCTAAATAAATGTAAACATTGAAATAATTAATGTCCTAATAATTAATGTCTTAATTAAATAATGAATTAATTGTGTCATGCTGCTGTGACCTCATCCTTGCATCATTATTGGCTGATTCAGAGGTTCAGGGCGGACATTTTGGGTTCACATCATTGTAGTCCTTAGTTCACAGCACTTAAGTCAGCACTTAGGAATCAGTCTTATACTTTACTGAAAGTTGCTTTTAGCTGCTTTATAAAAGTCTCCTACTCTTGGAAAAGTCCTACTCTTTACTAAGTATATTCTGACTCTTAAGTCAAAGCTTAAGACTATTCTTATGAGCATTTCTTAGAAGTTTTATACATACGGGCCCAGGCCATTTTCAGTTTGACATATCTGTATGACCAAAATTACATGTTGGCTTTAATTCACTTTTTTATGTTAACAGGTTCCATAAATTCACTTTTTCATGTCAACAGGTTCCACATAACTGGGTTACGTAAAACATAATCTGTTCACGTACATTTAACATCATGGAATAAGTCATTTTAAGCGACCCAATTAAGCTTAAATGAGCACTGAAGCAGTGTTAGAGCCCAACTAAAACACACAATGATCATCATAATGATGACTTCAGTGATGTTGCTTGTTACCATCAGGTGTCTTCAATAATGATCAATCAATTGTTCACTTAATTATCTCATTAACTTTAACACTGCTTCAGTGTTCATCGCTTAAAAGTACTTAATTCCATGATGTTAAAACCAATTGTGTTTGTTTAACGTGGAACCTGTTGACGTAAAAAAGTTCAATTAAAGCCAACATATATTTTTTGAGTGCTCGCCAGAGCCTGTCATGCAGTAAGAGCACTCTCCAAAAAAACACCTGAATAATAGCGTTATATAAAACGTTGTTATACTGGATAAATACAGTATGACCAACCCAATCTCACGGGAATTTGTACGAATTTTACGAGGTGGCTAATTCGTAACAATTCGTACGACCTCACTCGTACAAATTAGTATTTTGCTAAATCGTACATATTTTACGAATTAGCCAATTCGTACGAATTACCTACCCCTGACCCCGCCCCTAAACATAACCGTCACATGGGTTTAGACAAATCATACAAATTCGTACGAGTGAAGTCGTATGAATTAGTACGAATTAGCCACTTTTGAATCACTCGTACGAATTGGTCGTGAGATAGCGTAGGTATAACCAGTGCTGCTATTTATATGTTTTTAAATGATAAGCCATATTTGAGGTCGATGAATGACAGGCGTTTGGATTTCCCGCCGTTAACAATCTGTTTTTTTTTCTGCGACCAACCAACTAATAAAATGTTGGTCGACCAATCCTCTTCTAGTCGAATAACCAACCCGATCTCACGACCAAGTCGTACGAATTCGACGAATGATTAAAAAGTGGCTAATTCGTAACAATTCATACGACCTCACTCGTACGAATTAATACGATTTTGCTAAATCGTACATATTTTACGAATTGGCCAATTCGTATGAATTCATACGAATGACCTACCCCTTACCCCGCCCCTAAACTTAACCATCACGTGGGTTTAGACAAATCGTACGAAATAGTACGAGTGAGGTCGTACGAATTAGTACGAATTAGCCACTTTTTAATCATGCGTCGAATTCGTACGAATTGGTCGTGAGATAGTGTTGGAATAACGGTTAGCCGAATATTAGGGCGCAGCTCTAATTTTGTACTGCATTACAGTACAAATCTCAAATAATATGGATAATATAACACCAATAAAATAAAACGCCACTTTAGAGCACACGTTCATACGTTTTTGAACACACTTAAGTTGTTTATAATATAAAAAACAAACTTTTGGCTACACTTTATTTTAGGGTGATGTAGTTACATTGTACTTAAGCATTGAGTATTATTAATTAACATACTTATTATAGAGTTCAGATTTAGTTTAGGCTTAGCTACTTGTAAATTATGCACAATTTATAGTACATATAGCAAAGCTTTGGTATTACAACCCTCTCAGTTTGATATTTCTTTCACATTATCATATTAAACTGATCCCGATGACACCAAGTCTGGCATTTAACACACATTAACCTGATGCAAAACCCCACCAGTGTCTCGTAACCAATCGTGACGTGGCAAATGTGCATATTCAAATGAGATTCGACAGCTACGATGGATTTTTTATGTCCCATGGAAAAAGTAACCGCACCTTTAGAACAGAATTTTCATTTCTGAGTGAAATAATCATTTAAACCGTGGCAAAAAAAGTGGGTTTTTAATGGCGTTGTACACTGCATTCACTTCCCCTCCCCTCCCATTCCCCAAAGCACCTTATCAAAGGCTCATTATGCAAAGGAATCCTGAAAAGGAAGTGGTTTCAAGGTTAGAGGACACTTCTTTTTATCTATCTGCCATTTAACTGCTGCAGTCCACAGGAATAATGCAAATGTGTTATCTCAAAATGAAACCAAATAGTCGAAGGCAAAACCGTGTCATCATGTGTCATTACTTCAGCTGATGTCGGCCAGCATTAATGCGCACAAACTTCCCTTCACACCAGTCGATGATATTCCGGTGGGTTCAAATGATTCAAGAGTATAACCCAGCTGTGAGGCTTGGTGGAAAAACCACATGGTCTGAGCGGAGCAGATGATACGTGGAGGGAGACATCACACGTGTGACACGGACAACATCTCATATCTCAACACAAACAAAGCACAGCCATCCACCATATCTTCCCATTCCACTCCTCGCATCTTTCCCCGGCTACACACGTATCCCGTTACGGTAGAACGCCTATGATCAGTTCACTAAGTATGATTACATTTAAACGCAGGCTCTCCCAGCGTCGGCTCATGTGGTAGAAATAACATCTTTAACCAGGGTAAATACACACGGCCCACAGTCCGCACCTCCTCTGTAACCCGGCCCGATTCAGAGGCTGGAAGGAGTTTACATTGAGAGGCCGGTTTCAAACAACTGATCTGTGAGTCTGGGTTCAGGTTCAGGGTTCAGCGACTTCGCTGGAAGTTGTTGGGAAAAAAAAAAAAGCGTTTTCTGCACACGTCTGCAGTTTTGGAAAATATGCCGTGTCTAAATGTAGCGATGATGACCTGAGCTGTCCGGAGAGATAAAGGAGCGAGGGAGCTTTAGCGGGCGACATGGAAAGGTGTGGACACTGAATATGGGAGGAAAGCTGTTTGGACTGGGGGCTTTTACCATGACGAGTGTGGGATTTATGGGGCTTCCATCTGATACACATGCCTGGATTACTGAAAATGTGTGGCAGCACCCATTACTAAAATAAAGAACTTCCACACCGAAATGATTCATAATCATTCGTTGTATTTTTAAACTTGGTCTGATATTATCTAATATTTAGAAGTCGCATACACACAGTACAGGGGTAGCTGATAAAAATGATATTGTGGTGAAGTGAAGTGAATACTACAGAAAAAAAAAACAATGAAATTTATTTTCTAGTGCTCATTTAAACCGTGTAGAAATGAAAGTGTATTGTAAAATTACTCAACTTAAAAAGTGTGGTCTGCTTCGGGTGGTTATATTGTTTGAGTGAAATGTTGTAAATAAAACTTACTTCATTTCTTGTGTTAGTTTCACTTAAGTATAGTTTACTTAATTCTATGAGTGAAATTTACTCAAACTTAAAGCTACACTGTGTGATTTTTATCCCCATCTAGTGGTGAAAAGGTATATGACCATCCAGTGAATATTAGTTTCTGTTCCTCTCAATTCCGATTTCGTCTACGGTGGCCAATGTAGTCCAAGATTAACAAGGCTTCCAGTTCGACCTCGTCCATGAGTGTTAACTCAAACGTAAACGCGAAAGGCGAAGCTTCACTCTAAAAAATGCTGGGTTGTTTTAACCCAATTTTGGGTCAAATATGGACAAACCTGAAATGTTGGGTTAAAAATGTAATGTAAAAATTTAACCCAACGGCTGGGTTAGTCCATATTTGACCCAAAGTTGGGTTAAAACAACCCAGCATTTTTTAGAGTGTTGAATTAACGGGTATGTCCCTCTTTGGCTAATGTACTTTCAAGATGGAGGGGCAACATGGCGACCGACATTAGAACCCCTTACCCGTATTTTCAATGGCATATTATCACGAGAATACTTTATTACTTGAACGAAGTTAATATACATTAATGAGGACATCTATTTTTGAAAGAACTAAGTGTTTTTAGCTAAGAATAAACTAAAAGAGTTACACAGTGTAGCTTTAATAAGTCAATTTTACTCATTGTTTTTTTACAGTCTACAGCAAATCTTGAATGCGCGATTGTTCGCAAAATGCAAACTATATCATCGAACAACAATATATTAAAATATCCAAATCTATCCGCATATTCATGTAAAACATATAGCAAGAACATTTTATAAAACTACAGTATTTTAATGGATTTTATCACACAGCTTTTTAAGTAAATGTTTACATATTTTCACTAAATTTGTTTAGGCTTGGCGCTTATCATAAACTTTGTTTATAATGAATTCAAGTATAATTCTTTTCTATTTTTTAGATGTATGAGATGTTTTATATCTTTTAGCTTTGCTCTGAATACCAATACATGTAAATGATTTGATTTTAAGTAAAACGCATGTTTGTTTAATTCACCAAGTGTAATAATAAGAATGTGACTTAAAGGGATAGTTGACTTTGAAATGAATTTTCGATATGTTTTATCTTACGTCAAGGGCATCCAAGATGTAGGTGTCTTCGTTTCCGCAGTATTTTCAATTTTGATATTTGTAGGTCGAACCGTTCTTGTCTGTCAGTCATATAATGGAGGTCTATGGTCACCACCTCAAAGAGCATGCACAGAGAAGTCCAAATTAAACATGATTTAATGACTCGTAAATGTAAGTACACTGTTAAAAATTTTCCCGTTAAAAAACAGTAAAGAACTGGCAGCACGGTTGCCAGCAAGTTACTGTTAAATTAACAGTTTTTTACTGTTAGTGAAATTTACAGTTCACTACCGTTTATTAAAAAAACAGTAATTAACTGGCAGCACGGTTGCCAGCAAGATACTGTTAAATTAACGGTGTCTTACTTTTGGTTAAATTTACAGTTGTTACTGCTTTTGCAAATGCATAAAGCAGTTTCTACATGTTACAGCAATATCCTGAAAAAAGCATGGGCACTTATTTGTTCTTCATATTGAAATTAGTGTAAACTACACAAATATACAACATGGTATTGTGTAATGTATTGAATAATGGACAGTTAGCAAAAAGGACAACTTTTCCCCCTGTGTTTTTAAAGATTATTTTCTGAACCTTGTGATTTAATACATTTCCCTGTTGCAGTCTTGCTATAAAATACCAAAAGTGAATAAATTTAAAAGTGAAATAGTAAATTAAAAATGTCACAGAAGAAAAGCAGCTTTAAGTATTGTTTCAAAACATGTCTCGTTTATTAAACTTCTGAAACTCTTTTTGGAAAAAAAGCATAAAGGACATAACTAAATAATAAAAAAAATAACTAAAATTCAAGGTTTAGAAGTTACAACAAACATAAATAAACAAGATGTTTCCAAAATCAGAATCTGAACTATCCTGTAACTTGAACAAGTCCTTAACAAATGACTAAGTATACTGTCATTTTCTTTTTTTTCCCTCTGGACACAAACAGTGAATTACTTTATTCACCTGATTTTGAGTGTGTGTGTGTGTGTGTGTGCGCGTATATGCGTGTGTGTGTGTGTGTGTGTGTGTGTGTGTGTGGGTGTGTGGGTGTAATACTTGTATAAAGTCCCACTCAAAATCCATCAATTTTTTGTTTTTCTGGGCGAGCTTCCCCGTCCGTTTTGAAATGACTCCTCCAACCTTGGTGCCTTTTTCTGGGTTTATCCCGATGAACTGCCTGAAAAACAAACATGTTTGTTCAGAATTAGTTTACTCACAAAGAACATATAAATTTGCTATAATCTTAACTATTCTTGTTTTAAGATCACTTCCTCTAACTTTGTCAGGAAAGGATAGCTTTCTGAACAATCTTTTGGGGGTGAAGGATGTGATTTAATCTAGAATAAAGATATCTCCTTATTCAAGCTTTTGCATAGCACACCTTATATGCTATTTTAGCAATGTTTAAAACATTTTAACAAAATCATTTGATCATCATTTAGGTGTCAAAGATGAGGCTTCCTTCCAAGGTTTTCACCAACACTTCACCACCACCAAAGCCCTGTTTATTTCCTTGACAGTCATCTATGGCTACTCACTGGGCTTCAAATAGTTTAAAAGAAAATGTCTTTATTTGATGCTAGATTCCGTTAATTAGGGCCAAATTGTGTTGTATCAATTAACAACACATTCTCACCCTAAGGCGTCACCTTTGACCATGCTTCAATATTTGACGTTTTAGGCGCCCTTTAGCGTCACTTACATGACGCGATCCTACGGCATCATCTAACTGAAGCTAAAGGAAAGCGTCAGTTTGAGGACGCGGTTAGGTTTAGGTGTGGGGTGGGGGTAGGGTACACGCGATCCTAGGGCGTCATCTAACTGACGCTAAAGGGCGCCTAAAGCGTCAGATATTGAAGCATGTCCAAATGCTTCCCAAGGCAACGTGATCTCATGAGAATACGTATGTATTTATACGTAAAGTGTCGTTCTATCATACGTATATATAATTACGTTTTATATGCGCAGAAACGTATAATACTGACGTATTTACAGTACTAAAACGTAAAATATTTACGTATTGACAGCACAAAAACGTAATTTATTTACGTATGAACAAATCCACCGACGTACACATTGTACGTATCACAATTTATGCATATTAATATCGTAGCAGCATTATGTTTTGACTCTGTTGCATTCCACTGTCTTATTAATGAAGTTTTCAGTCGCATTTATTGATATAATACTCATAAATATGAACATTTTGCTCGTTTCGCCTACATGTTGTTAAACAATACACAATAAAACCTTAAAAATACAGTCTTTAACGTTAGCTACTCGTTCAACCATTTTGTAATAGTTTATTTACCTTGAGACACATAAAGCGTTTTCTCCTATAAAACACAACAAAAAATCACAAAAGACATCAATTTGATTAGTTTGATGTAATCCAAATCTTTAGAATCCATAGTTGTTTGTAAGAAACAACTCCTAATTCAGCCTCTTATCCAGTCGTGATCTCTCCATTCTCAGCAGCGACCGTAACGTTACATGTCAAACCCGGCGCTGATGAATTCAAATTCAAAAATTGCGCCCTTGAGAAGCGATACGTCATGTTTTACGGCAGTGATATCAAACGTTCATTGGCTCTTCCCTGCTTCGTCACAGTTTGCGACATGAAGGACTGTGCCGGTTGGTTAGTTTAGTTCATTTGAATTTTGAAATGGAGAAGCGCGAACCGAAGTCGGATTAACATTTTCATTATTTAATTTCTGCTCTGTACTTCATACAAAACTATTACAATACTGCCAGAGACAGAGAGAAGACTGCGACTGCAACGCTTCATCATGTGAACGGCTTTTGGTATCGGTTTTGACATTTTTGCAATAAATAAATTATTGTGATTATACTTGTCTGTTAGTTATGTTTTTCTTAATAATTGTAGTTTGTTACGTAGTTTTAAGGAATTGTTATGGGTAACGTTAGGTTTAGGGGTAGGATTGGTGGCTCAAAATATATTTTAATGTTATATTGTTATTAAAACTACCCTTTCCCAACACCTGTCCGTTATGTTTTATCCTTTTTTTATATTAAGTATAAAATGGGTATGTTTAGGTTTGGGATTAGGGTTACGGGATCTTACATTTATGTATAAAATGGTAAAAAGGGAAATTATACAGATATCTTTATGATATAGAATATACGTAAATAGTTTACGTTTTGTAGCTGTAAAAACGTAATAATGTTACGTTTAAATGTTGCAGATACGTCTATATTATACGTTTCAGCACCTATCCAATTTTTATCTTTGCAAAAACGTAAAATACCTACGTATTAACAATGAGACCAGGCTGCCCAAGGCGTCAGTTAGGTGACGCCTTGGGAGTGAGAATGGGCTGCAATTAAACATACAACACTGCAACAATGAAAAATTTTATGTAAAGCTGTGTTGAAATGATATGCATTATAAAAAGTGCTATATAAATAAAAGTGAAGTGAATTGAATGTATGCATCCAAGTATTTACCTTTGAATAAATTCCAGTGTGCATGCTGCCTCAGCTTGGTATTGAAGATTGAAGTTGTAAAAAGTAGAAAAAACAGCAGCAAGCCCAGACACAAAAGCCGGCTGGATGCCCTCAGAAATAATATGACCCTCAAGGCTGATCATCCAGTGCTGAATACAGCTTCCTGGTGTTTCACCTGAAACTTTAAAATGAAAAACTGTCAGCATCGGCATAAAAACATGAATCTGCCACAACCGTATTGTAAATGAAATCATTGACAGAGCCATTTTTATTAAATTTTCAACGTGTTGATCATGGACTTATCTGGGCAAACATTTAATTTAAAATGTGTATTGTGAAATTATGTTCTCAACATTGTTAATGGGTTAGTTCAACCATAAAAAGAAAATCCTGTCATGAATTACTCACCCTTATGTTCCAAACCCATAAAACTTTAATTTATCTTTAGACAAAGATATTTATAAAATTGTTTAATAATTGTTGTCCATCAATTAAAAGTCCATGTTAAACATAAACTCAACAGAAACAACACTGGGCAAGAAGATGATATAATTAGTGTGTGTTGTGTGTGTGTATGTGTGTGTAAACTATCCTTTTAAGTGTTGAAAATAAGTAAATTAATATAAAAATTGAAAATTAAGTAAATAATTACTCACCCTGGTGTTGTTCAAGGCCATATGTTCTTTTTCAGATCATAAATTAAAGAAAAATTGACTACACATGTAATCTGAAATCTGGTTTCTGACAATTGAAATCAGAAAATGATTCTATGTGACTCGTGTCATATATTCCAAGTGTTCTGGGGGTATACAAACCGAAATGTACTGTAAATTTACACGACACGAGACTCTATAGCACCACATTTCACTCCAAATCATGCTCTGCAGCATGATAACACTGCAGCAGCAATAACTAACGTTTAAATATGAATTAGTGTTAATTAATATTCTAAAGTAACACTGCAGCGGCAACAACAAAACTTTAAATGTGAATTAGTGTTAATAAATTTTAAATTACGTGTTGGGCAAAATAACACTGCAGCAGCAACAGTGAAACATGAATTAGTCTTAATGATTATTAAAAATTACGTGCTGGACAAAGTAACACTGCAGCAGCAATAACTAAACTTTAAATATGAATTAGTGTTGATAAATAAATTACGTACTGGGAAAAGTAACACTGCAGCAGCAATAACTAAACTTTAAATATTAATTAGTCTTAAAGATTATTCTAAATTTCGTGCTGGACAAAGTAACAATACAGCTTAACTTTAATATGAATTATTCTTAATGCTTATTCTATCACTTAACTTATATCAAAACCTGGATCTATGCAAAAATAAAGCCACCATTAAAGTAGGCCTAACAATACAATCACTTGTACAACAAATAAATCACCCTGAGATGTACAGATTAGGCCTACAACAAGTTTATCCCCATTTAAAAGCACAAAAAGCCCGAAATATAGGTTTTGTCCAACGGTTTTCCGAATAATGAAAAATCAAGCTGCAACACTTTAGCGCGCTAAGACGACGATGTAATTCACATGCAACAGTGTTTTTACTTATAGCTTTGCATAAACTTTGCAGAAGAATTGATTTTGGATGAAACTCACCCTGTAATCGGGAATTATCCGTGTGAGGAATCCAACTTCCCTCACGATGTCGCAGTTGGTGCTTTTATCACTGCGAATACAAAAATAGTTAGGCTACTTCCAATATCCAAAATACAAGTTAGTAACAATTGCAGATGTAATGCATTTTTCTATCACAACGAGCAAAACAAAAGGGAACTCACCTATTATAAGTATGAAGATGGATGAAAAATCCATGCGTGCTCACTGCAGCTCTTCCGATGTCAAGTCAAAAATACTGTTAAGTACCGTTTTGTTTCCCTCGAGCAATAATTACGTTAAAATGCCGTTATAATTTTTCTACGTCATATTACAAACGCAAAAAAACAGCAATGTACTGCGTTTGAACAAAACAGGAATATACTGTTGAAATTTGGCCGTAAATTTACAGCAATTTCTAACAGTGTACACATTGATGGCCTAAGACACGAAACGAGCGGTTTGTGTGAGAAAACCAACATTTTTATATTGTTTTTACCTCTTGTAACAACAGCCACGTCCAAGTGATCTGAGGCTGTGGGTGCTTCGGTCTGCACAAGCGTTTACACAGAGATTTCACAAGTGTTGCCCTTCACTGTGAAGATCTATTTAGATATACAGGAAATTGCAATGGAAAACGATTTCGATTTTTATATCAACAGATGTTGATTTTTTTTTTTCACAACCGCGCAATAGATCACTTCCGCTTGCGCCGAAGGAAAGCGCCTGCGCCCTCAGATCACTTGGACGTGGCTGTGGTAACAAGAGGTAAAAACAATATAAATACTGTTGGTTTTCTCACACAAACCGCTCGTTTCGTGTCTTAGGCCATCAATGTGTACTTACATTTACGAGTCATTAAATCATGTTTAATTTGGACTTCTCTGTGCATGCTCTTTGAGGTGGTGACCATAGACCTCCATTACATGACTGACAGACAAGAACGGTTTGACCTAAAAATATCAAAATTGAAAAATACTGTGGAAACAAAGACACCTTGGATGCCCTTGAGGTAAGCTAAAACATATGAAAAATTAATTTCAAAGTGAACTATCCCTTTAAGCACCAATGTACTTTTTTCTATTTTTCCTCTCAACAAACACAATTTTGACCCGGTGCGACATCAGAGCGAAAATACGGAACACACTATTCATCTAAGATGTATTTAGTTTCGTGTTTATACTTTGTGCCATTGACACTCCCTTGTTTCCTCCTCGGAGAAAACGCCTCCTGACCGAACAACACGAGCAAGATGTCTGACAGAAACAAATGTTGCTTCTGAAGAACTTCACAGTTGTGGAGTAACACAACCAGGAAGACATCTGACAATCAGGAAGAAACACACACACACGCACAGGAAAACACGTGTATGCAAACATAAATCATCCGCATGAGGTTATCTCACCCTGACCTCCATATGCAGAAACGCAGTTGCTTGCACAGCTGGTGAGGCCACTGACTCACTGCAGCCCCGACAGATGCAAACATTACCCATAATCCCCTATCACCAGAGCATACGCTCTTTGTAGTCGCCCCCAGTCTTGATGTCTTGCACTAAACACTGCAAATGTGAGCTGTTTTCTTCTGACGGACAGAGACATACGGACACAGACCTCATCGAAGTGTGACCTACTTAGTAAATATGATTGTCCTTATTTGATATGTCCAATATTTTTGCATAATAAAAATACATATCATAGTTGGAGAGCAAAATGACTTGAGATATAAAGTATCAAAATAAGATTAATATTAAGTGAGTTTATGTTTAAAACAAGACAAAATATCTGCCAATGGGGTAACGGAAAATTAAAACTTTAGTTTAAAACTATACAAGTTTATTTTTCTTGTTTTCTTGTTTTAAGCATAAACTCACTTAATTTTTATTTTAAAAAATTAGGAAACAACACCCTATATCAAACGTGATTTTGTTTTCCAAGTACATGTATCTTGATTTGAGAATGTTGCACTGTAAACAATATTTTCAAGATTTGTTATCACAACATATTTTCTTTTGTCAAATTCAACTTTATAATAATTTATTTAGTTCAGATAACATATAATTTTGAGTTTCTGATGGTTAAATTAATCTCCTTCATTGTATTAACTCACTTTTTCCAGTTCAATGAACTTAAAATTAAGGCAACCAGGTTACTTACTTTTTTAAGTTAAACCAACAATATTTTTTACAGTGTAGATGTTTGTACTGGAAAACAAGACTAAAGACAATGTGCATCCACACATTTTACACTGCAAAAAGGTACAAATCATTCTTAAATCAAGATGAACTTGGGAAGCAAAATCACTTAAGGTATAAAGTCTCGTCTCCTGAATAATTTTTTATTATTTTTTTTTATCAACATGAAGTGAGTTTATGCTTAAAACAAGACAAAATATCTGCCAATGGGGTAACGGAAAATTAAAACGTTAGTTTAAAACTATACAAGTTTATTTTTCTTACCACATTCGCAGATATTTTCTTGTTTAAAGCATAAACTCACTTAATTTTTATTTTTAAAAATTTAGGAAAAATTTAGGAAACAACACCCTATATCAAAAGTGATTTTGTTTTCCAAGTAAATGTATCTTGATTTGAGAATGTTAGATGTTTGTACTGGAAAACAAGAAGCATATAAAAATCTAAAACAAGCATAAACTCACTTAATTTTTATTTAAAAAAACAAAGCAAAATCATTTAAGATATAAAGTCTCATCTCCTGAATTCTTTTTATAATTTTTTATCAAAATTAAGTGAGTTCATGCTTAAAACAAGACAAAAATAATACTTTTTTTTTTTTTTTTTTTTTTTTTTGCAGTGTACAATGTGTGAATGCACAAACACACACTCACACCACTCTCCAACCCCACAAGTTGCTGGGCTTTATGTCTTGACGGTGCATATATCACTAGAGATTAGCAGAGGCATGCACTGCACAGCCAACAGATGCAGCAATTCGTCACTTTTTATCTCTTCCTAACACACACACACACACACACAATTCCAAACACTTTCACCACCTGATGCACTGCGTGAACTTTATGTGCTTGAGGAAGAGTGTGTGTTTGTGCAGGGGGTGGTGCAATATAACTTTTTTTATTTTTTGTTTCATAAACCACAACTTGTTAGCCTCACAGAGACCGCCACGACTCACACTATCGGCCTCCCTGGAAGATGAGCTGACACTGATTATAGCCTGTGACATCTCTGAGACGAACAGTTAACCAGACGCTGGGTTTCACACGCATGCACTTGATCTGCTTTCACCTGAGGATCTTTGGCCACTCGTTCACAAAAGATTTAACAATTAACCCTATACAAGCCTGTCTGTATCATATTTGAAAGGCCTCCAAATAATCAAAACTTTGCTGAAAATCCTAGTACTTCTGCCGTCTTTTAGACTTTCTTAGCAAGTAAAAGCCACTGTAAAAATGATTTAATATGAATGAATATGTTAAATCTAATCAATAAAATTGAGGCAACAGATTACAATCAAAATTAGTAGTTAAATTTAACAAATTAGAATTGAGTAATGATTAACCAAATTAAAAGTTAACCATTTAAAATGAGTAGAATTAACACATTTTTCAAACAAAAATATCAGAATAACCGACTGCACTGTAAAAAATAGTATGACTGAATATAATCAATAAAATTGAGGCAACAGATTACAATCAATGTTATTAATTAAAAATTAGAATTGAGTAAAAATTAACCAAATGAATTACTGAAATATTGATTATGTTAAAACACAACCAACACCATCAGATCACCTTATATAATTGTTCATCTGGCAGTTATAATTCAAGTACACTGAAAAAAAATAATATGCTTTATCTAATCAATAAAATTGTGGCAACATATTACAAGCAATATTATAAATTAAATTAGAATGAATTAGAATATTAATTTGATTAACTATTACTCAATTCTAATTTGTTCAATTTAATAAATAATATTGCTTGTAATCTGATGCCACAATTTTATTGATTAGATAAAGCATATTCATTTTTACAGTGTATAACAGCCAAACAGCATCTAAAGCTAATGATTTAAGGGTCAAAAGCCCAACTAAAACACACACATTGATCACCATAATGGTGGCTTAAAAATTAACTTTTAAGTAATTAATTTGGTTAATTATTACTCAATTCTAATTTGTTAAATTTAATTAATAATGTTGATTGTAATCTGTTGCCTCAATTTTTTTGATTAGATTTAACATATTCAGTCGTATTCACTTTTACAGTGTATACTTGTTAAAAAGTCCACCTTCAGCTGGTGAAATATTTACTGATTTTAATAAAGTAAACATACACTTATATTGTATTTTTTATATTAGTAATATTTCAAGATGAAAACGTGGACTGAAGCCATTCAGCTTCACCTAATGCATCATTTTTTAGAAAAACTTTCAAATATGTGAACATCAGGCTCTTGAGCAAGGTTTATTTGTATTTGTTGTTATATGTTTTAAAACTACAGCTTTGATTATACAACTAAGCATTTAAATGTCATCTTACACTCTAAAAAATGCTGGGTTGTTTCAAATATGGACAAACCCAAACGTTGGGTTAAAAATGTAACAAAAAAAAAATGTACAGCTGAAAATGAAAGTTCAAGTTGGGTTAATATTTGAAATTACATTTTTAACCCAACATTTGGCTTTGTCCATATTTGACCCAAAGTTGGGTTAAAACACCCCAGACTTTTTTTGAGTGTATCTAATATGATGCATGAAAAACCATGCAAAATATATATAAATAAAAAACCATGGAGAACCAGTTATACAGAAGGTCTTTCTGTGAGTGTCTTCAGTGCGGCCCTAAAACATGGGCTTAAAATATCACACACCAGCTGAACAAAGAAAGACAAGACACCAGGTGAGCACAAACAGGCCTGTTTTTGACATTTAGCACTGGGTTTCTGGAGCCCACTGACAATGAGAAGGACAGCAGGAAAGAAAGCCATGGAGAAGTCAGTCTCTTCACACACATCTTCACTACAAACTAAACAAATAAGGTTTTGGCTCAGCAAAACAATTAATGCAATCATGCATCAGTTTTTATGAGGTATGGCAAGTTCTCATGAAATTATACTTTATTTTGGACATTCTACTAACTATAAGTAACTCTACAACTACATGTAAGCTAACTTGAGTTTTAGACTGTGGTTAGATGTTAAGGTTCGGGTTCGTAGAATAAGTTGACATACTTGCAAAGTCACGTATAGTCAAATGACTGCTAGTTGACATGTAGTTGCAAAGTTACTTAGAGTTAGTAGAATGTCTAAGTGGACTATTGAAAAAGTGTTACCATAATTTAGCAAATACATTTACATTTTTGCACTCAGCTAAAGGATTATTAGGAACACCATATTAATACTGTGTTTCCCCTTAATTCTACGTGGCATTGATTCAACAAGGTGCTGAAAGCATTCTTTAGAAATGTTGGCCCATATTGATAGGATAGCATCTTGCAGTTGATGGAGATTTGTGGGATGAAGCTCCCGTTCCACCACATCCCAAAGATGCTCTATTGGGTTGAGATCTGGTGACTGTGGCGGCCATTTTACTACAGTCAACTCATTGTCATGTTCAAGAAACTATTCGAGCTTTGTGACATGGTGCATTATCTTGCTGGAAGTAGCCATCAGAGGATGGGGACATGGTGGCCATAAAGGGATGGACATGGTCAGAAACAATGCTCAGGTAGGTCGTGGCATTTAAACGATGCCCAATTGGCACTAAGGGGCCTAAAGTGTGCCAAGAAAACATCCCCCACACCATTACACCACCACCACCAGCCTGCACAGTGGGAACAAGGCATGATGGATCCATGTTCTCATTCTGTTTACGACTCTACCATCTGAATGACTCAACAGAAATCGAGACTCATCAGACCAGGCGACATTTTTCCAGTCTTCAACTGTCCAGTTTTGGTGAGCTCTTGCAAATTGTCGCCTCTTTTTCCTATTAGTAGTGGAGATGAGTGGTACCCGGTGGGGTCTTCTGCTGTTGTAGCCCATCCGCCTCAAGGTTGTGTGTGTTGTGTCTTCACTGCATACCTCGGTTGTAACGAGTGGTTATTTCAGTCAAAGTTGCTCTTCTATCAGCTTGAATCAGTCGGCCCATTCTCCTCTGACCTCTCGCATCAACAAGGCATTTTGGCCCACAGGACTGACCCATACTGGATGTTTTTCCCTTTTCACACCATTCTTTGTAAACCCTAGAAATGGTTGTGTGTGAAAATTCCAGTAACTGAGCAGATTGTGAAATACTCAGACCGGCCACGCTCAAAATCGCTTAAATCTCCTTTCTTTCCCATTCTGACATTCAGTTTGGAGTTCAGGAGATTGTCTTGACCAGGACCACACCCCTAAATGCATTGAAGACACTGCCATGTAATTGGTTGATTAGATAATTGCATTAATGAGAAATTGAACAGGTGTTCCCAATAATCCTTTAGGTGAGTGATTAATATCAACATAAATGAGTGGTGGCATTGAAACCAATTAATCTTGTTTAGGCTACTTCAGTTCAAATGAATAGTTGGTATAGTGCATGTTGATTGTACCTAATAAACTCAAAGAACAAGTAAGATATTACAGGCAATAGTCACTGCTCATACGTTAGTGTAAACCATTATTTAGCCACGCACATCGTAATCAATCAAAATCTGTTGCACATATTAAATCTGTCTTGAAAAGTATACGCATTATTGCAAAATCAGTTTGCAGAAAACTGCTTGGTTTGCATCAATCTGCATGAACTTTCTCCATTTTCCATCCGCTTTCCCCTCTCGTTCTCACCCAGACCAACGGACTCCCATTTCTGACCTCAGTCTTGCTTTCTTACTCTTTTCAAGCACAACAAGACCAAAACAACATTTGGTCTCCAGATTTACCTACGGTTTCCTCATCCAAGCCGACGTCAGAGCGCCTCCTTGATTATCTCGTCCATGCTTGAACACCACTGGAAAAAAAGAGCAACCAAGGAACGGTTGAGAAATTGGAGAGAAGACCATTACTCAACCGACAAGTATAGTTGCGCATGGAAAGGGATATCCTTTCACAGGTCAGTGCTTTAAAGCTGGCAAAATCTGCTATGTTATTAAATCTCATTTAGGAACAGACACCACAATCAGAAAGCATCTGATAGTAATAAAGAGGCAGTGGAAAAAAGTCGAGCGCGTTTGAGACTGAGATAATAAGAACATCTTGTGCTTCGTGAACAGAAAACCGACCCGCTCCCTGCAGAAAAAATATTCTAATCAACGTCTGTAACTTGATGATTTTGATCGCTACAATAATAATTGAACTGATTGACTCCACAGAGTCGTTCATTTGAAAGGTCATTAGCTTTGTCATATTTTGCTCCTGTGTGAAATGTGCTGAAGTTGTATTTATTTTGGAATAATTCACACACTCTCGTTACGCAGTCCTGTTTTTAATCTCAGCGGTCTATCAAATATGCTATAATATTTTCATTGTTAATGCCGAGGACAGCCAGAATGATTAAAACACAAAACAGGAGCAACCGTACACTCTAAAAAATGCTGGGTTGTTTTAACCCAATTTTGGGTCAAATATGGACAAACCCGAAATGTTGGGTTAAAAATGTAATGTAAAAATTTAACCCAACGGCTGGGTTAGTCCATATTTGACCCAAAGTTGGGTTAAAACAACCCAGCATTTTTTAGAGTGTACATTTTTTAATTGCATTTTTAACCCAACACTTGGGTTTGTCCATATTTGACCCAAAATTGGGTTGAAACAAGCCAGCATTTTTTAGAGTGTATGAAAAACAAGTGATATTAATTTTGACAATGAAATTACTGCCGAAATGTTGTTGTTTTTTTACACTCTAAACAATTCTGTGTTGTTTTAACCCAATTTTGGGTCAAATATGGACAATCCCAAATGTTGGATTAAAAAAATGCAATTTATAACCCAACAGCTGGGTTTGAACCCAAAATTGGGTTGAAAAAACGAAGCATTTTTTAGAGTGTAAGGCAAAAAAGTAAATTATGACGATAATGAAAAAAATAATCAAAACTTTATATTACTCGCATTTACACATGCATGATGCTTGTTGAAGAAAATTAGATGCAATTTTTAAAGTAAAATAATGAATATTATATTTGAAATATGGACTATACTAAAAGACTTAAATTAAGCAATTTTCATCTTTTAAAGCTAGTTTATTCTTAGCTAAAAACACTTAGTTCTTTCTAAAATATACGTGCTCATTGATGTATATTTAGTTTGTTCAAGTAATAAAGTATTCTCGTGAGTGTATAATACGCCATTGAAAATACATACGGGTAAGAGGTTCTGATGTCGGTCGCCATGTTGACCCTCCATCTTGAAAGTACATTAGCCAAAGAGGGACATACCCGTTAAATCAAGCTTCGCCTTTCGCGTTTACGTTTGAGTTAACACTCATGGACAAGGTCGAACTGGAAGCAATGTTAAACTTGGACTACATTGGCCACCGTAGGCGTTAAAACGAAATCGGAATTGAGAGGAACAGAAACTAATATTCACTCGTTGGTCATATACCTTTTCACCCCCAGATGGGGATAAAAATCACACAGTGTAGCTTTAAGTTAGACAAGATTCAACTAATTTTAATTTAAGTCAGTTGAATGTAATTGAAGTTGAAATTACTTAAACATCCAAGTTGATTGTATATTACAGTATACAAATAATAATGCACTGTTACACTGTAAAAAAAATATTGTTGGTTTAACTTACAAAAGTAAGTAACCTGGTTGCCTTAAATTTTAAGTTCATTGAAATGGAAAAATTGAGTTAATACAATGAAGGAGATTGATTTAATCAACAGAAACTCAAAATATTATGTTATCTGAACCACATAAATTATTTAAGTTGATTTTACTAAAGAAAAAATGTTGTGATTACAAATCAGGAACATATTTTTTTTTACAGCATGATACCTGTAGAAATGTATCCGTTAGCATTCCCATTCATTTCAATGGCAGTTGCTCGGCTGGTGCAGAAACCTCCAGATGTGAAATCTGCCATCAGCCAATCGCCTGTCATGTGACCAATCCCTATGGAGCAGCAGAAAAAGAACGTCATCATTGAATAGCCTCTGACATCACAATAACGTGGAAATTCCAAACTAATTGCACTAGCACCCGTCCTGAGCTCGCATCAAAGCAAGTATGGGGAAATATGATTACTGTGAGAGCCCTGAAATAAGATTAGACCACTGGTAAAAAAAAACTTCTACAACATAATAAAGAAGAAAAGAAGATATTTTGAAGAACCAAACAGTTGATGGACCCCATTGACGTCCATATATGGAAGGTCCACGGACCATATTCATATTTAAAATATCATCTTTTGTGTTCAGCAGAAGAACAATCTCCATTCAGGTTTGGAACAACATGAGTAAATGATGACTGAATTTTCTTGGGTGAACTATCCCTTTAAGTATAAACCCACACAGGCGCGCACACACCCAAACACATGCATATGCATGTGAATCCGTAGAGCACCTCGAAAGGATTCTCTCCCTCGGGACGCCTGATGATGTCATTCTCATTAGTCATAATGATTGACAGGTAAGAGGGAGTTTGAGATGAGTGACAGTCACTCGTTTACCCTGGTTGGGTTTCGCCTCACGTGTACACCCCCCCTCCCAAACCTTCTAACAGGACATCGCCCATCTGGGTAGGGGGTGGATGCCAGTCCCAATTCATCCATCAGTCATTGAAGAGGAGAGTTAGGGGGTCCTTTCAGTCCAGTGAGAGAGGGTGAGAAAAAGGTCATCTGCTTCTGACTCACAAAATGAGACATGATCCAAAAGCCTGACATGTGGCAGACAGAAGACTGGGGAAGGATGAATACAACACCAAGCATGAAATATCTTCCTAAATATTTTGAGAAGAATGTAAAGGGATATTTGGTTGCATCTGGTTCACCGATAAACCATTACTTTGTGGAAAGTGTTTTTGATATTTGAAGAAATAATGCAATCCAGAAGTTTCTGGCCCCATGTCGTCTGTACAGAATTGTCATGCATACAATTTCCATTGTACACCAACAGAAAAGATGAAGCACGTTCCAAAATTGACAAAATGTCCCCACAAAGATGGTAATATCCGAAATGTTTGTTCTTGTGGGAACATTTTTGGCCCCTATGAAGAAAATATTATAAAATCACACTAAGTGATGTTTTTTGAAAATGTAATAATGCAGAACGTTTACTATGACGGGTAGGGGATAGAATATACAGTTTGTACATAAAAATCATTATGTCTATGGTTCCCATACAACATGAACATGTGTGTGTGTACTTTACTATATTTTGGGGACAAATTTTTACCCTGAAGTGACCAAAACCTGACAAAATCTTCAAAAAAAACTCCCTTTACTGTGCGTTCACACTACGCAAATAGCGCGTGACATGTATGTGCACATATATGTTGGTTGTCTTTACATTAAAATAATATTTCATATAATCTAGATATGGAATAAATAACATTCAATACAAAATTAACATGTCTCGTATATTGAAATACATGTTTAAGAGATAAAATTTTGCTTTTTGTGCATTAGTCCCACACCAGGCATAATTTATTGAAGCATCTAGATACTTCACCACGTGAGCAAGCAGCAGGCTCCTGATTGGTTAAAGGTGGCATATGTAATAATTGAGGTAAAAATATCCAAAAAATGAGCTACACGCATCAAAAGAATGAGAAGAAATAAGTGCAATGATGTAATTAAAAAACTGACAAGTTATAGTGCTGCCGAGATATAAACCTAAATTAGCATGCTAAATGACTAGCCCCGGCCCGGTAGGTGTCGTAATACCAGTTCCGGCCATGGGAGGCGGTATGCGGCCGGGCAACATTACCACCAGCCAAACTGCAGTACACGAGTGAGTCGCGCTCGCGCCGGCTTGTGTGTACTTGAACCTGATGTCAGTCGTGTGGAAATACAGCCCATTACTACATTTCAGTTCAGGGAAGAGTTCAAAAAATGATTGGTTGACATTATGCATGAGGAATACATTTTGGTAAGTTGTAGCATACTGTATCTTTCAACAGTGTTCGGGTTCTTTTTCCATTAGCTAGTAGAGATGATCGGTTCACGTGCGCTAGGGATCTGTGGTGTAACATGTACAAGCGCCAAAACGGTATTTATTGTTTGAATTGCATAATAAAATTGACAGAATCTGAGAACTTAACTAACCTGCTTGCTAAAGTGTTAATTGCGTGTCTCACGGTGAATTCGTGAGAGCTGGCAGCTCTGAATTTCGCTAGGTTGATCAACATCAGCGAATGCTGTCTGTCAAATTAATTCAAACTAACAATAAAAGTGTAATATGAATCTAAACGAATACCTTAAACTTAAAATAATAGCCTGCAGGCTTTTATTTTCCCATATCGTCGAAATGCAACAGCTTGTTTTTGAGACAGGCGTCTATGAGTCGGTCTTCATCATTTAGTGTTGAGATGTTGTTCATTTAGTCTCTGATCTCTAAAAATCTCCAAATGCTCCACGTGAAACTGCGGTCTTCCGACCTTTTACTATCGTGTCAAATGATTTGAATAATATGCGGAGAAAGAGAGCAAAACGGCGCTCGTTTGTGTTGTTTGAAGACGTGAGTGCGTGCGGCAGCGGCACAACACATTTTCTGGAGGTATACTGCCCCCATCTGTTATGGAATATGGAATATTTTTTGATTTTTAGTTCCAGAAGGCACCTTTAACGTGGCGCGAATTGACACCAAAGTAATTTTTTTTCAACTAGGGCAGCAGACGCGAATTCGCGTCAAACGTGTGAATGCACAAATAACACTAACTAAATCATTCGCGCGTAACACGCCAGACGCTCAATTCGCGCAAATTTTACGCGCGAATGAGGCATACTCGCGTCTACCGCGCTCTTATTCGCGCCGCAGGAATTTTTACGCGCGTAACGCGTCTTTGCATTGACTTAACATTGAAATCACTCGGGCCTGATGCGCTATTCTCATCCGGTGTGAACGCACAATTAGGGATGTCCTCATTTGTAAATCCAACCCGATCTCACGGGAATTCGTACGAATTTTACGAGGTGGTTAATTCGTACGACCTCACTCGTACGAATTAGTACGATTTTGCTAAATCGTACACATTTTACGAATTAGCCAATTCGTATGAATGACCTACCCCTGACCCCGCCCCTAAACATAACCGTCACGTGGGTTTAGACAAATCGTACGAATTCGTACGAGCGAGGTCGTATGAATTAGTACGAATTAGCCACTTTTGAATCACTCGTACGAATTTGTACGAATAGTTAAATCTGTTATAAAAATTAAAGGTTTTTAAAAATGTAAAAATGCAGAATGTTTTGTGTGATGGGTAGGGTTAGTGTAAGTACAGTACAGTATAAAAACCATTGCATCTATGGAATGTGCACATTTTTAGCTAAGTAAACGTGTGTGTGTGTGTGTGGGGGGGGGGGGGGGGCGAGTTGTCCATCTAGATTGCAGATGAACTAACTGGTATGAACATGATGGACGTAGTGAAGACCTGGCAACCCGACTGCTGTGAGACTCAGCAAGTCTCTTTCTCTCACTCATGCACATATGCACATACATCTGTTCCACATTAACACATTAAATGCCTCAAAGGTGTTTGAAAACACTGTGGTGATCAATTTCATCTTGAAATAATCTGTGGTTTCGATTGTGCCAAATTCTAATTCATAGTGTGTACGCATCAGAGAGATTTACTTCAGAAAAGAGTCTCTCAGCATATACAGGTTAGAAAGTCTCGTCGCACCGAATCACACCGTCACAGATGCATCTTCAATATAAACTCATACAGTGTGTGAATGTCCTTACAGATTGCTTCACACATCATAGTTTGACAGGTAGTGTTCCTTAAAGAGTTTGTCACACCATTTGTCAAATGTCAGATTCTAGCATGAGTTATGAAGGCCACCTAAAGCTATGTGACATTCAGTGCGTATGGCCCTTTATGGTTGCTATGGGAAGTAGGAAGAACAATGCAACTGGACGACAGCAATCTGTCATAGGGGTTAACGTAAAGGACCAGAAAGAGGATCCGAAGATTTCACACCCATCATCAGTAATAAGAAACAATGTGTTGTGTCATTTATCAAAATCACATCTGACTGCTCTCTGTCAATTCGTCAGTCCATTCCGCATCCATCAAACTCGCGTTCGGTTTCCAAAACGTCTCCACCCTTATGTGTTGCGCTGTCCACAAATAGTTATTGAATTTGACAGAATATTAGGCACAATGCTGTATCACCTCCCACTGATCTCACATTCATCATTGTCAGCTCTACTAAACGCACACGCTAGTCAATGATGTGATAGTGGAACTCCTACACACGAAGAAAAAAAAAAACATTCGGATGAAATGTGACAATTTCACATGTCAAGAGAAATTACAAGACAGACCTCCAAGCACCAACAGTTTGTGTGTGTGCGTTTCACGTGATGAATGAGGAGTTGATCCATCAGGGCCCCAGACAGTCCAGACAGGCCCACATGCTGAGACCCACATTCTCCCTGACCACCCTCAGAGAGGCGGGCCACAGAATTGACAGGAAATGACCTCAGTAGCAACCCTCTCAATTATGGTCATATCCATTATAACTGGCTTTTATAGCATGGCATCATCACTCGACACAAAACAACAGATGCACTTTAGTCAGACCAGACATGTTGTCAAAATAGACATTCATCCTTTTTGATAGACTACTAAAGACAATGCTTACTGACAATACAAAACAAGAGCATGCATGTTTTCTGATATGTTCGTTGTTTTGAAAATGGATAAAACATCACACTTGCTGAGCCTAAAACACACAGATAATCTATTGGAACAATCAGTGAGATGGTCAGAAAACAATTGGAAAACCATTAGAGAGGAAATGAGGTCAATACCGTGTTTTTTTACTTTCATAATGATGATGGCAATATGATTATGGTATGTGGTTGTTTTGTAGCTTAATAGTGAGGCCGGATGACAGTATATTCTGTTCAGTCAAGCATGATCGCTCCCATCCGCTA